TGTACATCACGGCCATGAGGAAGAACCAGCCCATCTGCCCGACGGTGGTGGCTTTCACGAAGCCCTCGGCGATGGTGAAGTGCATGGTGGGCACCACGCCGCTCAGCCCCAGCCCCAGAAAGACGCCTGTGGCAGAGAGGAGAGCTCAGCACGTGGGAGAGCAGCGCCCCGGCTCCCCGCCAGCTCCCCTCACACCCTCATCCTGCGCAAAGAGAAACTCCTGGAGGCACCAGCAGCTTTTCCTCACTCAATCCTGGATTATCCAAACCCCCCACGGCATTTATCCTTCATAAAACGAGGGATCTACAGCTCTACAGACCAGTCAAAACCAGTGCTGACCCCCAGTCTTTCGGGAGGTGCCAGCCCCTTGGATCCCACCGAAGGAACGGGGCAGCCCCGGCCAGCCCAGCCCGGGAGGAGAGGCTTTGCCAGAGTCATTCCTTCAGTGAAGCTACTTGGAGCTCAAGGGGAAGATGCTAATTAACGGTGCTGAAATTCTCAGTTCTGGTACCTACTAATTAGTTCAGCAGAGAGCAAACGGCACCGCTGGGAAACACCAGCCCGGTGCTCACAGCAGGATCTGGCCCAGCCACTTCACACCGGGGGGGATAGCAGAGCTCCCAGCCCCAAGCTCAGCATCATCTCTCGTCAGGTAGTGAGGATGCTGCTGTGAGAGATGTTCTGCTGCAGGAACCCCGGGGAGGTGAGGTGAGGGCGGGCAGAGGTGCTTCTCTGCGCTCGGTGAAGCTGATTTAACCTGCAGAAGCAGAAGCTGCGGCGGGGTCAGGCCAGGGAGGCTGGAGGCAGCCACGTGCCAGCGTGTAACTGGCAGGAGAGACGAGGGAACTTCTTCTTCCTCTGCCTGGGCTGCAGGTTCAGGCTGACAAGCTGCTTCCCAGAGAAGGTGGCTTTGCTCAGCACAGCACAGCCCCAGGCTGCCCAACCACCACTTACAGGGTTATTTTTAAACGCCGTCTCCCTGCGCCAAACCCGAGGTTTGCTGAGTGCCAGGCAGAGCTCAGCCCCTGCTCAGTGGAGGAGCTAAATCCCCAGCAGAGCAAGAGGAAGGAGACCTCTCCCTGCCAGGAGGTGCTGCCAGGCAAGAGGCTGCTCTGGGGGAATTAATTCTGCAGATGCTGAGAGTTCTTCCCAAATGGGAAGCATCACCCCACAGTGGGATCTTCCCAAAGTGCCTCCCCAAAGCCCTCCCCAAGGACTCGAGGTGAAGAGGGAGAACCCCTACCTGCCCTCGTCTGCCTGTGCTTGGGAGTGGCAAACCGATCCCACTGAGCAACGATGATGGCAGAGATGCCCAGGACGCAGACGATGGAGAGGTAGATGAGTCTTGGCTGTGGGGAGCAGTAGAACGAGTAGTAGAGCCACGGGACGAAGCTCCCCATGATCAGCAGTGCAATTCCTGAATAATCCAACCTGCAGCCGGGGTGCAAGGACAGGGAGTCACAGGTCAGCCCCCAAATCCCCACACAAACCCACTTCATCATCCTCCACTGCAAAGTGCTTTCGATCTATCGATCCAGGAACCATTTCACCACCGAAACTCAGCTGCTCATGTCACTCCCAACACCACCGTGGCAAGTGCCATCCCCAGGACACAAGGACATTTCTGCTGAGGGCAGGGCAGCACGGTTTGTTCTGCAGACACCAGCCCGCAGGATCCACGGGGTTTGTGCAAAGGAGATTGGCAGGATTTCCCAGCGAGCAGCACCCAAGTAAATGCCTTTGACAGATTTACGTGAGCAAGATCTTCTCTGAAAGCCTCGCTGCTGTCCTGCCCAAGCCAGGAAGGCTGCTGGGAGCTTAACTCTGAAGAGCAGCTTGTGCACTGACCTCGGGGAGAGGCACTGGCACTGCCCAGCCTCTCCACTGTGCCGGGAATCCTCTTTGTTTTGTTGCTTTCAATTTGGTTTCAATCCAAATCGGATCCAAATCAGAATTTTTCAAAGCAGCCAGTAAACTGGAAGGTGCCGTGTCCCACCAGACCGAGGCCCCTCCTCGTTTCACTGCTACGAGGGGCACAGAGGCTGGAATTGCCTTGGGAGGGGCTCCAAATCTTTATCATCCACCTGAGGGCATCTGAGCTGGTGGATTTACAGTGCTTGGGCACAGGGCAGAGCCCTCCAGGACCAGCTGTGGTTCCCTCTCAGCTCCACGCTGGATTTAGTGAACACTCCATTCTCCCAAGGATAAAACATTTGGGAAGGCAGCACTTCCCAAGAGGGAACTCAAAACCTCCTCCGAGGCCACACACCCGCGCTCTGTGCTGACTCACTTGGAAAAAGTCCGCGAGACCTTCTCTGAGTGACAGTAGACAGTGTGGAAAAGCCAGGAGAAACTGAGGCAAAGCACCGCTCCCAAGAAGAACATCCCAAACACCACCTTCTCCTGGAGAGGAGCCATGAAATACATGTTGGGCCGCAGCATGGTCAGGATCCCCAGGCAGAGGAACAAGACAAAACCTGCAGGAACACACCCAACAGCGAGTGAATTCAGCAGAGAACCAGGAGGAACCCGGCCCTGGCTGAGCTCTGCCGGGCAGCCCTGCACCTATCCTGCTCACAGCACACCTGAGGTGCTCAGCAGCACCTGGGGCTGGCCTGGCAGCAGGTCGTTAGCCGAGGCCATCGTTACCATGGTCAGGTGAGGGGTGAAGAGCCCCTGACCATCCCTGGGCCTCACAGGAAAGTGCTCCCAGGATTTCCTGTTTGCCTAGGACACATTTCTCCATCTCACTCTTGCTGAGTGTTGGCAAAGCCACAAACTGTCACCGAGCCCAGCCCTGGGGCCCTGCTGTGAGGAAGTGCCCTGGTCTCCCTTCACCAAGGAGCTCCAGGAGCTCTTGGGCACCTTGTGACTGAGCTGCCTGTGTGCACAGGACCTGGCAGGGGTTGTGATCCTCAAAGGGAGGCCCCAGGCATGGAGATGACCTCAGGAAAAAGCAAGTCCTGGCCAAAAAAGGCCAATTTGTGCCTGGGGACCTACAGGAAGGCTGGGGAGGGACTTTGGCCAAGGGCAGGGAGTGAGAGAACAAGGGGTGATGGCTTGAAAGTGGCAGAGGGGAGATGGAGCTGAGATGTGAGGAAGAAATTCTTTGGTGTGAGGGTGGTGAGACAGTGTCCCAGGTTGTCCAGAGAAGCTGTGGCTGCTCCTCCCTGGAAGTGTTCTCGGCCAGGTTGGATGAGGCTTTGAGCAACCTGGTCTAGTGGAAGGTGTCCCTGCTGATGGCAGGGGGGTTGGGACTGGATGAGCTTTAAGGTCCCTCCCAACCCAAACCAGTCTGGGATTCTTCGGGGGCCAAGCCCACCTCATCCCCAGGGCTCCAACCCCCCCAGTCACCTAGCAGGTGTGTCCAGATGTTGCCCGTCTCGGTGTGTATTCGGAAGATGCTCTTGAAGCAGGCTCT